TCATAAGAAAAGTGAGTAGAGGCTTATTTTTTTAAAGAGATATTAAAGACTTATTTATTTATGTATACAGAACTGGGGTACAGGCCAGAGGTGCAGGGGTGGGGAGAGGATTCACCAGTGACAGAGTGGGGAGCAGAACAGAGAGATGGATGAAGTACACTGCTGAGGAGAGCAGCGGGTGGGTTAGGAGAGGCTTGTGATTCCATGTGAATCACCTCTGGGCGGGGGATCGAACTCGCACTGAAGCAGCTGCGGCTAGCTTATAGTGCTGTGTCCTAACCCGTTGAGCCACCAGGGAGAGCCGAGATAAAAATTTCTATAGACAGTGTTGCATAAACTTGATACATCTAATCTTGTTTTGGTTTCTAAAGATGATCAAAGTCTTGTAAATGTAAATAACTGGAGACAGTAGAAGTGCTAGGTTTTGAATATAAATATAAACTTTGGTTTGTGTTTATGGCTTACTTTGCAATATTAAGTTATTGCACAAAAGAATAACCATAAACAGCTATGTTTCCCACCCCCATTCCTTATGTTTCTTTGTCCCTTCCCCTCCCTACTTCCTCTTAATCTCAACACCCTCAGAATGTTTGTTCATGTCCAGCAATTTTTGAAAGTATGTTTACACTTTGAATTATCTGCAGTTTTTATCATTCTTACTTTGCTACATTAAGTATTTTTCTAAATTCCCTATTTTGTTCAAAATAGCTAGACCTCATCTTTGTGGCTATTCCACAGTACGTATGAATCACATCTTTTTGATCCAGTCATCTATTGAAGGAAATTTATGCTGCTTCCATGTCCATGTAAATAACACTGTTGTGAATATTTTAGAAGGTATAGTTGCTTTTTTTTTTTTGGAGGGGGAGGTCATTGATGATGGTTTCATATTTGGTGACCATAAGCTCAGAGTTGGGATACTTGGATTACATGGTATTTCTATTTTAATTTTTTAAAGGTAAATCCAGTTCTGTCCTCATGGTTTTACCAGTTTTACATTCTCATCAACAGTGTAGTAGGGTTCATTTTTCTCCACATCCTCTCCAGCACTTGTTGGTTTGAAATAGGTCATTCTAATATGCATCTCACTAATTAGGAGTCATGTTTAACATGTTTTCATATGCCTTTTGGATATTCTCTTTAGTGAATTGCACCCCCCACCTGTTTTTTTTTTCTTTTTATATGTAGAAATGCATTATAGAATCTGTCAGGATATCATTTTCTCTAAAGATATTTGGAATGTGAAGCCAAGTATAGGAGATTTTAAAGTTGGCTGTTCTACTTATCTGCATTTCTGGAGCTTGTCTAAGCTTTGCACAACAAGATAAACAGCAATGACAGAGGCTAAATCTTCTCACAAATCACTGCACTATATGATTTGAATCAAGAGACCGTCCTGTGTTGAATTACTGTTTCTATGATTATTTTTTTGTTAGTAGGTAGATAATTTCACATCTTTCTATTTTTTTTATAATTAAATGGCTTAAAGCAGACAGTTGTCATAATAACATACTTTAAAAAGAGCAGAAAGTTAAAATATAAGGCTTCATTATTATAATACCAGAGAAAATTTTTTCTCTAATTCTTCGTGAATTTTTTGTCAACTCATGGCAGTTGAGGATGGGGAGAAAAGGGAAACTGATGAAAAAGGACCATTTCTTTATACCATGGTGAAAGTGCATTAGGATGCAATTAGAAAAAACATGGATTCTGCCTTTAATAATTAAATTATTACCAAATAACTAGAATGTAATATGAGTGGTATCTATATTACTTCCATAATTGTTAAAGATTATTTACCATCAACTTTTCTTTTTTGCTGAGGTTTTGTTGGAATTATGCAAGAACATAAGAGGAAAACAGAATTTTTCAGTCCTATTTGTGGTTGTAACTGATATTAGTGCCAGTTTTATTCGTGGGAGGGTGACGTCTATAAAGTAGAGATGCCTTGAATGACTGATCTGGCTTCTATCCTACTATTTCCATCAATCCTCCTCCCTTTAGTTGGGTCTATTTTATCTACATCTGTAAGTTTCATGAAGTCCAGGTTCCCAGACAAAGACCAAGTGGTTTCTATCTAGACCAAATTTAAGGAGCTTCAGGCCAACAGTTTAATAGCCCAGCCATGTCAGTGTAGCAATTTGTTTTCCTATCCAAGACACAGTACAAATTTAGTTACTAAAGGCCTGCCTCATTTAAACATATTTGAGCCTTTTGGACAGAAGTTTTGCCTTTTCCTTGACTAAAATCTGCAAGCATAGAATTTTCTCCCCATGTTTCCACACCCTGCATTTAGCGCTTGACACCTGCTGCCATATTTTTCTGTGAGGCATTCGTTTGAAGTAAATCTCAATCTTAACCATTGGGGACTGCAAATTTCTTACATCACCCCTCATTCTCCTGCTAGGACAGCTTATTTCTTAACACAAATATCTTTCGGATTACCTGTACTGATGCAATCTGAGCTAAGGTCAAAGACTCACCAGTACAGGGAATTCTGTTAAGATTTTCTTGCTTACACAAAACTTCTAAAGATTTTCCCCTTAGACTGTCCTTGGTGTCACATGGAAAAGCAATGTTGTAAAATTTTTGGTGTACCAGACAAGATCTTTACAACAGAAAGTAAAAAACTCAACACCTACACTCTTCCCATCTAAAAATCCCCGACGGGATAAAAAAATGACCAGCCAATTTAAGCAATGACAGATTCTCATTAAAGACTTCATTACTCCAGAGGGGCATAAGTTGTGATGGCTAAAGAACACCGGTCACCTCAGGCTTTGGTAGACTGAGAGATGACAAGAGAAAACTAGTGAAAATAATAATTCTGTAGCTACTAAATTAATGGCCCTTCCTCTTATAATAAGAAAAGAGGGAGAAGCATGATTTGATGGCCCTCAAAAAGTCAAATGCTTAAGTGAACTTTAACACCGTAATTATAGCTTGCTCATGAGAATTAATCCTCTGATTAAGTGGATTGAAAAAGTGGATGTACCTACTTGCCATAATAATACAGTTGAAAAGGGTCTATTGTGAAAGTAAATGCAAATGGAACCATATGTAGCTTAAAAACCTGTGGATCTGTTTTGAGTAAGTGTGAATGTATTTATTTATTTATTTGAATGTATGTTTACAAAATTATTTATTTGCAACATTAGTAGGTTAATAAAATAAATATAATCCAAAAGAAATACTCAATTTAACTTCTATCATAGGCAAAACAGTAAGAAAAATTCTGAAGAAAATATAAATGCAAATTTTAACATATTTTAAATGAACACTTTTACTGCCCCCTGCTGTTAGTTTCTAGATGAAACTTATCTAGATGAAATATAGTGGAATTACTGTAACCACTGACTCAAGGTGAATTAGCTGAAAATAAATGGTAGAAAAAAATCAATTCCCCACCTCTAATGGCACTTGTCAGTCAGTAAGTGCTAATGCTTACCTCATGTTTGTGAGTAAAGACTTGTCAAATCAAGAAATCGACTGCAAGGCAAGGGATGTAGGATGAGAAGTAAAGCTTCTGATTTGTGAAGAGCTAGGTTACTAAGAAAATACCATTGTTGCCCATTTTAGCAAATAATGTGTCATACTTAGTTTCATAATTTTGGATGTACTTTTTTATACTTACACAATTCAGGTAAAATTAGTTCATTAATAGAAACAAAATTTTAAAAATTAATGGTTAATTTTTTTTTCTCCTAGTATAATACTGACTGGAGATGTTATTTTCATTTTGATACATGAAATTAAGAATTGAGGAACAATAAAAATAATAAATATATTAATGCAGCAGTTAGTAGGTACATGGCGCTGTTTTCAAATTGAGACAAACATCTATTTCAGGTGTATAGCTTTATATTTCCACATCTGTGTATACTGCATAATTATTTCAAACAGCACTGAAGTCTATTATGAATATCCTAAATTCTATACACCGGCATCTACCTTCCTGTAACATCCATGAAAGGGACTCAAGGGCTTATCTAAAGAAAATCTATTCTTTTGTCATCAGCACATGGTAAGTTTACTGAGGAAAGGGAAAAAGTGAAAACAAATGCCTGCATAGCCACAGGTGGGTAGGAAATCTGCAGTTCTGAGAGAGATTAAGAAAGAGACTCTGGCATAGACACAAGCACACAATCTTAAAAGACAAGAACTGCCAAAGAAAGTCTGTATCTTCCCCTGCCTTTTCCCTCATATTTCATTTAATCATCTTAAAATAGAATGGGATAGGTTATGTTGTAATGTTCATTCTTTAGATGAAGAGGCTGACTCACAAAGTAATTTGATTAGGTGTTCATTTGTTAAAAGGTGGCACCCTGATGGGAAACCCTGCAGTGAAAGAGTAGCTGTTACAGCACTCACCTAAGTGTTACTACCAGTTTTTGCTCCAGCAGCTAGAGCCAGCGGATGACACACACAGCGGATGACACACACAGCACATCTGTAGCACCCAGTTTGGTTTCCCTTGGGTTACTAAAGTCCTTCCTTCTGCAGCCGCCTCACACGGAAGTTGTGTGGGTGTAGTATCTGAGTGTAATGTACTCCATGTTTCAGGCAGGATGTTCCACTCGGTGCTAATTTTGCAACACGTGCCATCCATCTCTGTACTCACTGACAACTTCTGGCTTTAGGAACTTTGGATCATCCACAGCAACTTACATTCAAAAGATGCACACACTTCTCAGAGCACTTTGAACAACTCAGTTGCCCCTTTGAGGTGTTCTGGGGCAGCTATTAACCGCAGAGCCCCACACAACAGGCCCCTGTGCTCCCCTACCTAAGTCAGGGCTAGTGACCACTGAAAGACCTGCCAGCACCACTGCAACCCCTCACACTCACGACTCTGACATGCCTTCGCCTTACAGATATTTGCAAACGCTACTACATACTCCAGCGGGCAAACTATAAGGAAGGAAATTTCTTCACCTCCAAAATTAAAGTGAAAATCTCAAATCACGACCAGTCATTTGATAGTCATTAAAATGTCTTACCTGACTCGAGGTGGTGGGTTTCCGGTGACTCTGCACTCCAAATAGACTCGACTTCCTTCCTCCACTTCTTGACTCCTCAGCTTCTGGATGAATCGAGGAGGTGAGAGAAGGTGAGATGTATTCTGGGGCTGTGGGTTTGAGATGCTGTTGTCTGGGGCGGCCACCTCCTGGCCAGCCAGGTAACCCAGCCCGGCCTCGGGGGGCTTGGCCTCGGCTTCCAGCTCCTGCTGGTCTTCCATGGGGCTCTGACTGGCTGAGGCGCTCATCAGGGCCGATGGATGATTGTGGGGAGACAGGTACCCGCTATCTGGGGAAGAGGACTCTCCATTGGGGCTTCTGTTTCTGGGCTTTGCTGCTTCTCTGAAGATGGATGTCAGCTCCTCGATGATATTAGCTGTCTTGTCACACAGCTCGCTCTGGGGACCTGCCTTCCCTGGAGAGGCGGGCTTAGGCTTCATGTTGGTGTCAGGAGTTTTTGCACCATGTTTCTCAGTCTTCCGGAGGCTCCGGATATAACTGGGGCTGGCCAGCAGCGGGGACTGGGCAGCTTTCCTCTTTGAAACAGGTGAAAGGAAACTCTCTGTTGGTTCTTGGGGCAGAGGCTGCTCCGGGCTTGGCCTGCTCCCCGAAGGCCCCCTTGTGGAGGTTGGCTCACTGGACTTAGTCTCCAGGTTGGAAGGATTTTCACAGAGGTTTCCAGGAGAGGTGTTGAAAATCTGCGAGATCTCCTTTTCTGAGTCACATTCTTCTGTCTCAGAGTCCACTATAGCCCTGCGCGCCAGGTCAAGACTCTTGTTTATCTCTTCCTGACTGAGAAAGGCAGATAGCTCGGGGAAGAAGTCAGCAGTCTTGCTTTCTTCCTGCATGTCTGATAAAGAATCGTAGAAGGAATCATGGGAGGAAGTCTCCGACATATTTGAGTGGTCCTTATCCACTCTGTCTGCTTTCAACAGGAAGGCCGGAGGCACTGGAAACCAGCTTTTGATTGCGTTCTGAAAATCAACAGATGAAATTGCCATTAGTCGCAATTATGTGTTATGCATTTATCACAAAGCTACAGCTCAAAAGTTGGGCGAAACATTAAGGAGGCTTTTGTTTTTTCCTTTTCTATACATTGGAAGAAACCGCCAGTGGACATGTGTTTATCACTTTGACATTTGCCTGTGAGGGAATATCCAATATCTCCCTAATGGAATCATTATCTCCAGCATGGAATCATTCTCGAGGCCGCCCTCAGCTCTGTAGGTGTGGCTGGCCTGGCTGGTGTCTCCAGCCTCCCGCCAGCGCACCTTTTCCCGCAGGATGTTCCTCTGTTCCATGAGCGTCTGTTATAGCGCTAATGAGGGGGAAAGCAATCTTGCCGACTGGCTGGGCCCACCGCAGGGGTGGAGGGTGAATGTTTTCTTCACGTCTGTGTGGCTTTTCTACAATGTTTCCTGCCACATTCTGAAGATGTGAATATGAGGTTTGTCCTCAGGCTCAAGGATGCCAGACGCGCATGCGCACGCACGTGTGTGCGTGTGCGCGCGTGTGCGCGTGTGTGTGCGCGTGCGCACTTGCTTGAGTGCGTGTGTGCCTGCCTGCGTGCGAGAGGCGCCAGAGCACTAGGTCAGGCTCCTTCCATCATGACCATGAACTGGAACAAACAAATGCATGAATATTAGAAGCCTCTGGGGTCTTTTTGTAGAAGTTTGGTGACGTTCTTGTGCCCAGAATTAAGCCGTGGCAGTTTGACATCGATTGCCCTATAGTCAAACTGGCTTCACGTTACTGAAAAAAAAAAAAAAATTCCCGGTTTACACGGAACCAAATGACTTGATTCAAGGAGCAGCTTCCCTTTTTTGTCATTTCCTTCAAAGTCAGTTTCCAAGCTCCTGTGGACAACATGAAGTGACGACTTTGGTGCTTGGACCTGTCTCTTCCCCACAGCAAGTTCGCCAAATCTGCTCCAGGACAAATTGACCGTAAAGCCATTTGCCATAAAACAGAAACTAGTTAAGTGACCGGGTTTCTCTCTTCACTGCTAAGTCAACCAATCCACTGCCTTCCTCTGCACTGGTTTATTGTTTTCATGGTTTTTAATTTATTTCTACTAGGCAATGACAAATGACAAATTTGCACACAGTGAAAACGGTCTTTTTCTAAAATATCAATACAATAGGGCCTTTTTTACATACACATTTTAAATGCTGAATATATCAGACCCTCATGATTTGGATGTAACCTCAAGCATTTTTAAGCAGGAGGAATAGAGAAGAGTCATGCATGGTACTGCCCGCAGTGTCTTGTGTTTTTATTCCAGAAACATAAAGTTTATTAAGGCTTATTAAGAAAACTTTGAAAAAAGTTGTTTTATACACATAAGAATATGTTTTGGGGTGTGGGAAGAGTAGCAGCTTTCACTTTGGTCTAAAGGTAAGACTATGAAATCCTTAAACTTAGGGTGCAGAAGGCACGGAGGGTTCTATGGACTCTAAAGCGTTTAAACGAGTTGTCAGTTGATTTAATTTCTTCGTTGGTAATATTTGAAACCAACACTTGCCGTTTTCTAGCATAGTAGTATTCAACCTAACTTTACACACGTCCATTTTAAAATGTTTGTATTGTTTGGTAAATATTTGTAAAAAAATATATAAAATGTTTGAAAATTGTTTTCTTATGAATTTCCTGTGTATTATGATGTCTGGATGAATGCCCCCTAACCCGCCCTTTTTTTTTTTTTTTTGAAAGATTTATTTATTTGTACATACAGAACTGGGGTACAGGGCAGAGGCTCAGGGGCGGTGAGAGGCTTCACCAGAGACAGAGTGGGGAGCAGAACAGGCAGATCAACGAAGTACACTGCTGAGGGGAGCAGCGGGCGGGTCAGGAGAGGTCTGCCACGCCATGTGGTCACCTCCGGGGGCAGGCGGGGATTGAACTCATGCGGAAGTGGCTTTAGCTTCTCAGTGCAGTGCTTTAACCCGCTGCGCCACCAGGGAGGGCCATAACCCCCCTTTTTAATGGAAAATTGCTTTATGGTTATTCACTTATACAGCAAAAATGCTTGAGAAGAAATTGGTTTGGTAAAGATGCTCACAGGAAAAATACCTGGCACATACCTCGGTAAAGCTTCATTTCATTAATGTTAGAAGATCGTAGCTTATAGCTTATTGAAAATTATTAATGGTAAATCTGCTCATCTTGCCTAAAGCCACAAAATACATTAGAATTCCAGTTTTCATTTTTTTGTTTTTTTATGCAATATTTTGTATCTTATTTCATACTTTCCTTGTACCTGCCATGTTCATTCATCACTTATTTTTTTTGAGTTATTTATTTATGTATATAAGAACTAGGGTATAGGCCAGAGGTATGGGGGTGGGGGTGGGGAGTGAAAGGATTCACCAGAGACCAAGTGGGGAGCAGAACAGGTAGATCGACTGCAAACTGTTCAGGGGAGCAGCGAGTGGGTCACTTCCCTGGCTGGGGACTCTAACTCATGCTGCACTGACTGCGGATAGCTTGACAGTGCTGTGCTTTAAACATTGCCCACCAAGAGGAACCTTCATTAGTCACTTATTAAGCTTTAGGTGCTAGAGATGCAGTTGTGATCTGGAATAGGGAGTAGCAAAACTTTTCTAGAAAATAAATATTTTTAATGTTTTGGATCCAACGATCTGTCATAATTTCTCAACTCTACCATTGTAGTATGAAACCAAAAGGAGCCAGCTGGTATTGTATGATCCTTGTAAGTCTCTACTTTCAAAGGGCATTACTCAAGGGCCTAGAGAAAAATCCAAAAATCCACTTCAAATACCTATCACCACATCGAATGCAGTGATTTATAGAATCTGTTAATTCAAAACAAGATAATGTAGTCACGGATCCTACAGTTCAACATAACTTACCATGTTGTTAGCTAGATTGTGGACCTGTGCCTCACATATCCTAAAAACGACTCATTTTGTTGTATATGAATTGTGGTCCTGATCTGCCTGCTAAACAGTATTTCCCACTCTTCTTGAAGTCAATTTTGTAAATCCACGAGAGTGAGCTCATCATCTTCCCCCTCATTATCAATACAGTCATTATTCTAATTCCTTTGTCCTCTCTGTGCTCCAGGATGAAACTATCTGATTTCTCATCAGTTGTACAAATATAGTCCATATATAGAGAAAAGTTTTCAGTGTATTTATAATACTTGGTTATAAACATGTATCCAAGATTTTACTTAAAAAAATCAACTAAAGGGAGTACCAAAAAAGATGGAAAACAGAGCTCCCTGGTGGCACAAGGGGTTAAAGCATAGCACTATGGGGTATCTCCAGCCAAAAAGCAAGAGTACAATCCCCAGCCAGGTACGTGACCCACATGGCACAGCAGACCTCTCCTGACCTGCCCACTGCTCCCCTCAGCAGTGTACTTCACCAGTCTACCTGTTCTGCTCCCATTCTGTCTCTGATGAACTCTCTCATCACCCCCACCTCTGGCCTGTACCCCTGTTCTTGTGTGCATAAATAAATAAATCTTAAAAAAAAAAAAAAAAAAAGATGGACAACCATTTCAAAAGAGACTGAATACCAGGCACTTATGGTGGCATTCAGGAATGCTGAAATGAATTTGCCAATAGCTTCAAAAAGGATAAATATTTACAGGGCAAGAAAACGTAACCTTTGGAGTCATTTATACAGAGTAATAATCCTACTAGAAAAATTTCATTTCTATACCTATGTTTAAGTGTAATTTGCATTGCTATCAAGTTTCTAATGAAGTTATGAAACTACCTAGTTAGATATAATAAGACAAAGACTTTAGGATAAGATGACCTTGGAAGGGCCACCAGAGCCCATTCAACATTTCACTGGAAGGACATCAGTTCTATGTTACCTAATTCAAAGCCTTTCATAGCTGTTGTAAGAAGGCAGACTAGTTTCTCTCAGCACAGAGCTCCTAAGTACAATGGTAAATCAGTGAACTTGGCAGGTTAGGAGAAGCCAGGTCAGGCTCACATGTTGGAATGAGTGAGGACATAAGACATCAGGCAACATGAACCCAGAAAACACAGGGAGATGGAAAGAGAGAGGCTCTGAGGCTGAAATGTTTGTGTACTAAAGGCAGACACATTGTATTATTTTTTCATTTCTTGCAAAATTTATTTGTCGTTTTCATTTCTTGCAAAATTTATTTGTCGTTGGGAAAGAAGCTTCTGGGGTTTGTTTTTTGTTTTTTTGTTCTTTGGGGGTTTTTGACCTTAGACAAAGATACTTTTTGTATTGAACTCAATGCTGAGAGAGTCTGGGAAGCATTTTTTGTGAACTGTACCGGGCATAAACTACATTGAAAATGCAAGTAGATAATGGAAATACAACCTTTGATTCTTGAAACTTTTCAAAACAGTCGCTGGGCTACCATCTCCCCTTCAGAATGCATTAATAGCGTCTGTATTAGGTGCCAAGCAGTGTGCTAGGCACGGTGATACAATTTTGAAAAAAAAAAAAAAATCTAGTCGTACTAAATTTAACAGTCCATAAATGGATACAAATAAGAAATGAACATCTACTGTGCCCAGTTCTATAAGGAAAGAACAAAATGCTTTGTTAACACTTAGAAACTTCTTACCAGGGATAATATCAGGAAACATTTTATGGGAGAGATGAAGTTTAAGGATATTACGTGAAGGATAAATAAGAGCCAGGCAGGTAAGGAGGATATTGGCGGAAATTTAGACAAAGACTAGGAAACTTCCAAAGGGTCAGTCAAATTGAACTCTAACTGAATTTGGAAACATAACCAGAGATAAGGTTAAAAGCAGGAATGGGGTCAAGGGCCTGAAGTCGTTGTGAAGGGCTTAAACTTTATCTGTGAGCAGTTGGGAGACAAAGAAGAATGTGAAGTATGTGAGAAACACCACAGAGTTGCATTTTAGAGAGAT